TTCATTCTTGTGAGAACTCATCTCTTCTCCAAGAAACAAAGTGGATTTATAGTCCTGGCAACTTTTGATTTAGAACTTCAATGCTCAGTGTCTTTAAACTTTAATATGTAACAGATCCTCACTCTGAATGCTTAGAAGCTTGACTATCCATGAAGATTTTTTTCCATTTTATTTTTTCATTCTTTCCCTTTAATTTTAAAAGTATACCAAATATGTACTTTACCAGAAATAAAGATAAACAATAACATGATTAATTTAACAAACTATTTCAGAACAGAAATATCGAGATAATATATCTTCCAATTAAATTGGGATGGTCTTGTGCCAGTTGATCAGAAACTACTTGTTTTTTCCAGTATTTTAAAACATGCACCTGTATTCTGCCCTGAAAATATCCTCTTTGCAAGTTTAAAACCATTATGTTCATATACATTTATTGTTGAAATCTTAATTCATATGTCTGTTCATCCTCTCTTTTATAAAGTTCTTTATCTAAATATTGTTTAACACCTTCATATGAGCACCTATCGATGAGAATCGGTTTACCATCAAACTCAGTTAAGAGGTTATAGACTCCGAAGCATATTTTTTATCTAAAAGGAAGGTGACTGTGCTATACAGTGTACCTACCTTTGGACTGTCTGATTTGTGCCTTCTAAAAGATAATAACTGAAAGCAGCATTCTAATGGCTCACTGATTGACTGGTAGAAATTACAGCAAAGCGTGTATGGCTGAGAAGATTTTATTAGTACATCCTCTGCGCTGGGGTCATGTCAGTAATGTTACCCAGAAGTGGAAACTGTTAGGTCAAAGATTTTGTGAGGCTTAATGTCAAGTTCAACCAGAACACATTGGTGATTGTTATCAATTAATTCCCATATAATTAGACCAAATCCACCAGTCGTTTTCTAAAAAATTTTAATAGACTTTTTAGCAGTTTTACTTTTATAGAAAAACTGAGCAGAAAGTACAGAGTTCTCATTCTGTCCTCAACATCCTCACCTAGTTTCCCTTATTATTAATATCTTGAATTACATTTTTAACAATTGATGAGTCAATATTGATATGTTATTAACTAAAATCCATAGTTTACCATCCTCACCTCATTTCCCTTATTATTAATATCTTGAATTATGTCCTCATCATCCTCACCTAGTTTCCTTTATTATTAATATCTTGAATTACATTTTTAACAATTGATGAGTCAATATTGATATGTTATTAACTAAAATCCATAGTTTACATTAGGATTTTTTTGTAAATTACTTGGATTTTGACAAATGTGTAAGGAAATGTATAATTACAGTATCATACAGAATGTTTCACCACGCCCAAATCCTGCATACTCTACCTACCTATTCAGCCCTTCTCCCTCCCCCCAATCCCTGGCATCAGCCAGTCATTTTGTTGTCATATCAACTCTCTAATACCCTCAAAACACGTTCTTTTTGTTGTTTTATTTTGTTTTGTTTTGTTTTTCTGTTAATGTATTGTGGCTGTTAGGAGATAATGAGACCAGTGGCTATGATTAAAGGACATTTTTACTGAGTTCTTGATTACTTACCCTTATCTATTCTCTGTTCTAATTGTTAATTCAAATTAAATATAGAAATAAAAACTGACAAGCTGATAAATACAGTAACTACTAGATTTCCATCATTTTAACCTACCATACTTCTTTCAACCTTGTCTCCCAACCTATCCAAGCAGGGAAATTCAAAAAATAAAAACAGGAAAACATAGGCTTCTAGACTTATCTGTTCTCCAGTGCTTCTATGCCCCTGTTCTGGTGGCATCTCACTCAAAAACAAGCAGTTCTGTACTTGGCTAGCCAACTGGTGAACAAACAGCGCGACTCTTATTTTATATCCAAGTTTCAGAAGGTGACTGAGCTTTCGTAAATAACAAGTTTATATTTGCACAAGGAGTGAAAATTAGATGTATAAGCCCATTTTTTATATTAATGCAACTATTTAATTAGCCTATTAATTATTAAGTCTGAAATAATGGTGAAACCATGGAATTTTCATCTGTTCCTTTTATACCCTAACAAACCCCAACCCCTGTCCACTGTTCTGCCAGTCAGTAGACTAATGGAACATAAGCAAACAATAACATGCACAGATATGAACACAAATTAGTGTGAAGTCAATAAAAATCAATATAAGGGAAGATGAGTATATACATTTTATTCAGGTATATCTCTGTTAAATGTGTTCCTTTTTATTTTAGACAATTTATATAAAGCCTTAAAAATGAATGCAGTTCTGATTTCTATACATAGTATTAAAGAAGTTAATGACATTGAATATCAAGGACATTTTTACTTAATCACTCTTGCAAAACTGTAAGCATATCAACATCTGTCTAGATTGTCAAGAATATTCAAGGGCCATACATGATGAACTCAATATGAACAAAACAGTTCAAAGACTTTTAGAATAAAACTGTTGAAACATTTTTTCCTGGGGCTCTGTGGCTCTGATAATGAAAGAATACAGTACCCTTCCAGCTGTTATTCTGACAACAATCTTGAGCAAAAATGGTCTGGATCGATATTCTTCCCTAAAATAGGTTTGAGTAGTTTTATCATAGTGGGTGAAATTTAGATGACATCAACCATTGGCATTTAGGAAATCAAAATTCTATTTTGATATTTATCAAAAAAATTAAATGTAGTTAAATTTCATCATTTGTTATCTTAATGGAATACGGAGCATCTTCTAAAGTCATATTTTTCTATAAATTTAAGTTTTAAGAATATTGGAAATTAAAATACTTAGTTCACCTTGAGCAAACCATAATTAGTCAGTTAATATAAAGTTTATGTGGGTACAACCTTTGAGGTATAACATAACCGAGAATGTTATTCTGAAGATTATATTTTTACTCAACATGAATATGCAAAAACTAAAGAGTTAGTTTAGCCACATTATATGAAATCATTATTTAATTCTATAAACCTGGAAAGCTTGTTTTGTATAACATTTCCAGAAATATATTTCTACATTTATTTCTACATTTGTTTCTACACACAGTACATGCTTTTGAATTTATATTTTTGAAGATGTCGAAATATTAGAAAAATCTATTTTTTCCTTACTAGATGATAGGAAATTGTTTTTGTTTTCATATCTATTTAGGATGAACAAATTTGTATACATTTTTAAACTTACACACAGACACATTATACATATTCCTGCAGTTGGAAATGTCATCATTCACCGTCTCAGTTAGGCTAGGGACTGAGATTATTTGTGACACTTTTTTTTTTGCCATTTGAATAGCTTAGAGATGTATTTTGTCAACTTTTCTGAATGCAAGTAAAGACAAATACACTTGACATTGCAACCATAGACACACATACACACACACTACACGTGGAAGAAGGAGGGGTTGTGTGTGAGGGGTTGTATATTCATATTTGCACGTACACATTTGTACATGTATATTACTTATTTTAAAATATTTACATGCATATATATAATTGAAATAAAATTTCAGAAAACAGTCTTTATCACATGCACTCTAATAGTTTGTATTTTATTACATGCCAGTTTTTACATTGAAAATGCATTTCCCAACTCGTGTAGTTGATTTTCTGATCCACTAATGTGTTACAACTAACGACTGGAAAAAAACAATGGCTTAGGTGATGGCACTATAAATCACATATCAGCTAAATGAATGATGCCTTTCTAATAGGACCGCCACAACATTGTGTCCACCTTTATCAACCTGGGAATATGTTACTTAACCCACGTCAATATTGCGGCAACATAGACAAAATGGATTTACTTTCATTTACAGAAAGTATGAGTTTCTGTAAATGAAATGATATGAGTTTCATTCAACCAGGACCAATTGCATTGCTATTATATAACTAAACAATTTCATATTGTTGGATAGAATACTAACATTTTAGATAGGAGGTAAATTTAAAGAAACAGTGATATTATTTTAGAAAATTTATACACTGTCTAAATTTTATGTGGATTGATGTTAGTTTATGATTAGCCAAGAAAATAATAACAAAAATACTTAATGTGTAGAGACTTGCTCTTGAGAATACCTAAAATTATTAGGAAGGTATAATGTTCTCCAGGAAATATTGTTAAATACAAAAGCAAGGTTTAGAACCGCATCTAAAGGATGCTATCTTCTGTGTAACAGAATGAGCTAAAATGTATACATACATATTTTCTTTTATTTGCAAAAAGAAACACTAAAGCCATAAACCAAAAGCTAAGAAAAGGAAGAGCATGCTGTTTAATTTTTACTGAAATGAAGGAAAGGAGAGAAGGAGAGAGGAAGGGTGGGAAGGAGGGAGAGAAAACTAGAACAACAGCAAAAACACAGCTCTTTGATACCTTTCTGGTAGAGTGTAGAGTGGGAATTTTGTATTAATGGACCCTTGACAGTTATAGGCATCTGCTCCTCAGAAATAAGTCAGTGAAGTTACATGTATAAGGGTGTTTTCTGTAGAACTGTTTGAAAAAGCCAATTGGAAGCAACTTTAATAGCTACCAGTAGGAGATTAATAAAATAAATAGTAATACATCCACTTAATGGACTACTATGCAACCATGAAAAGTAACGGAGTGGAACTTTATGAAATGACATACAAAGATCTCCATAATGTATTGTTTAATGGAAAAGTAAATTTCAGAGTAATATAAAAGGCTTTATCCTATGTTCACAAAAACTAGAACACTATGTGATTATACAAATAATCGTATTTGTCTTAAAAAGGTAGACATCTGGAGTGAAATAAGACTACACCACTAACAGTGGTCACCTCTGGGATTAGAATTTGACAGCGCATGTAGGTAGAAGTAGTTTGAGAGGAAACTTTCATATTTCATTTCATATATACTTACATTATTTTAGAGCATTTTTTACAAGCATGTATTGATTGTGTACTACATAGGTAAGAAAAGGGATGATCCCTTCTATGTTCCAATTATACTAATGCTTAACCCATCTGTATCTCCCCAAGATGCCAGGCTGCCAACAAGACTTGCCCCACAAATTACACATGGAATAGTCAAGTCTGCAGATGCCTCACTCAGCAGGATTTTATTTTTACCTCTAGTGCTGAAGACGGTAAGCAGAATGATGTTTTTAAGACTAAATACCAAGGGTCTCTAATTTGATTAACAAATACTTTAATATTAAAATCATATGTCCAATATTCAGATTATCACACTTTTTAATGGGTCACTACAAAATAGGACCTTTTTTGTTTCTCATTGATATTATTTTGAACTTCTTTATAAAGGTACATGCCCATGTTTATGCACAGCCCTGTAATGAAAAACATAAAAAGGAAGATGCTTTTCAGTACTTTTAATTGTTTCACACCACACCAGGGACCAAGTAAGGTATAGTAAGGTTGTCCTGCCTGTATTTGTCTAGACGTGGCAGATGGATTCCATGACATCTGTGGACCCAACAAGGAACTGGACGAAGAGACCTGTCAATGTGTCTGCAAAGGGGGGCTTCAGCCTTCCAGCTGCGGGCCCCACAAAGAACTAGACAGAGACTCATGCCAGTGCGTCTGTAAAAACAAACTTTTCCCCAACTCATGTGGGACCAACAGAGAATTTGATGAAAACACATGCCAGTGCGTATGTAAAAGGACCTGCCCAAGAAATCAGCCCCTCAACCCTGGGAAGTGTGCCTGTGAATGTACAGAAAATCCACAGAAATGCTTCTTAAAAGGAAAGAAATTTCAACATCAAACATGCAGGTAGGAAATCTTCATAAATTGTGTTTACTTCTCTTACTGGAAATAGTTTTCTCAGCTAAAAGCAGTTTTCTCAATCAAAATAACAGTCGTTTATTAGCATGAAACTGGTAAGATCTGAAAGACAAATTCTGATATTTTTTAACTAATGCCAAACTTGTGTGAGACTGTTTCCTCACCAAAGGGCAAGAAAGGAGCCCTGGGAACCCAAACCAGATACAAACTCAGGTTACACTCTGAGTCCTTTACCCAGGGGACAAGGTCGTGGCTGTCAACACAGGTTGGGGGACAGGTGCATCGGACAATCATCTGTGGAGCATTTTCAAAGTACACCAGGCAGTGCACACCTGCCCCCACCAAAACCACGATGCCATCAGATGTAGGACAACTGTTCTAAGTGCAGAAAATGTGCAAAATCTTAAAAGGATAGGATAGTACCATTTACTGTAGAATTATATCTAGAAATAAAAATATTTATGCTAACTATTTAACGGAATTAGAGACATAATATGTTGTTAAAGGTTACTCAAGACTCATTCTTCAAAACTTTTTCACCAAGAAAAGAATGAGTCTCTTGGACTAAAACCTTTTAAGTGTGAGTCTCTGAACTTTTTCCTCTACAGTCTGAGAATAAGGAGATCTACTATTTAAGCCAGATCTGACTTTTGACATTTCTCCCCACGTTCCTTCAGCATCGCTCCACCAGTCATGTCTTCTCTCTTCCATACCTTTAACATCTTAACTCTGTTGTCCTTTCCTCTCAATTTATAAAAGTTCCTGAATTTCTTCTATTTTGTTAGCATCTCCCCGTGATGTTGAGCATACTTTAGCAACCAAGTTCTGTCCTTCTCTTCAAATTTGCTCCAAGTTTAGGCCTTTGACGTTTTCATTCACCTCTTTCATCTCTCATTTATTCAACCAACTGTAATGGGATTTATGCCCTAAAATTCCCTGATAAGCTTCAGACTCTTACTTGCTAAATCCAATGGTCAATTGGGTCTTTATGTAAGACCAAAGCTGTCCTTTCTGTAGCTTTTCTTTAAGCTCTCCTCTTTTTTTGGCTGACATAAATCGTGCTCTCCTAGTGTCCTTTCAGTTTTCATACATTTTTTCTTTATCACCTTCACTGGGCTTTCTTCTCTTTCATCAAATGACTTTAAATGACTCAAACCTTACATTTCATTTATTTACAATTTTATATCTGCATTAATGTTTGTCATTCCTTTTTTCCTCAGTATATAAAGTATCCATCTTTTTGATTCTGAAGAGTTTTGCAGTCTCATTTTAATTTATATTTCTGATGATCTGTCCCCACTAGCTACTGCATAAGGAGATTTCATTGAATCTATGTATATCATTGATGACTTTTTTCCATTAGTATTTCAGAATACTCTATAATACTCCTCTTTAGAATATTTTGCGCAATAACTGTGTTGCAGTTTTACTTGCATATCTCTAATTACCAGGATATTACAAAAATACACATATAAATATTAAATCTTAGTAAAGATTACTAAACCTTTTTGTATATTAATTCCTTCTGAGTGAACTTCGTATATATTGAGAAACTTAAAATTTTTATGCTTGCATAGATAAATCAGCCACCATATTTTTCTCCAGAATTCTTACATTAACTTAGCAGAAAAGATTTCTATCATTGTATTTCTCTTAATCGTATACATTGTTTTATAAAGACTTTCTATTTACCGAAACTCCCCCATGTTCGTTTTTCTAAGTGTGTAATTCCAATTTTCATGCATATATTGAAGCAAAAAAAAAAAAAGATAATTTACATTTTGAAAATATTTATACTCCTTATTTTCTCTTAATATTTATTCCAAAAGTGTGGTGGGCAGACTTTAGTCCACTGCCTTAATAAGCAAGTTTCATTGATCATTGAGAATTGTACCTCTTTAGTAAAGGAATACCAGAGGTCTTATAGTAATGCATTTGTACTTATAAGTAAAATTAACAATAATAACATTTTAACTAGATGTACTTTCTTTCCTAGAGTACAAAAATGAAATTTCGAAATCACATCTGTAGTTTTTCTGAGGTGCACTTTTGATAGCCATGTCAGGTCATCTTGTATTTTTTTCCCTGGACACCCATTTCCATTCCCATATAGTAAGCATACTCACACTTCAGAAACTTTTTCAAAGATAACTCCCATTCATCAGGGCAACAGTGCTTCAGATGTTATTGACTACTTGATCATTTGTCCTTTTACCACTACTAGAAACTAGATGTCTAGGGCAGGAGGAGAGGGACCCCCACGATGATATTGCCCCTCTCCTTCCCTTCCGGCAGACAGCATTGGAGCCCAGATGGAGAAGAGAGAGTGAACCGCCATCACAGCTAGCTGCTTGCCCAGCGGGGACACAGGAGCAAGGGTGGGGCTGCTTGCTGAGGACCATGGGCCTGCCAAAATGGCTGGGTTTAATGGCTTCAAGCTCTGAGTTCCGTACAAGTCTCAGACTCTAGTGAGTTCTGCCATGCCTACGTGACCACACTAAATTATCAGACCAAATAGTTACTTCCAAAATTTCTGTTTTATGTTACTTTCATCCACGAAGCAGAAAGCACTTCAAACTAATGCTGATATCTCATTCTTCCATTTGTTATTTTAGTAACCAAGACACTTTTTTTTTCAGGTTTTTCCATTCCTCTCAAATTTTATAATTGTAAGCATGAACTTTAACAATTTACAAACCTATAAACCCAAGAACAATTTTACGACAAAATGAGTAACTGTTCTAATTTAAAATTTAGCATAACTCAAAAGTGTGTCTATAGCATAAGTTCATATATTAATGTTTAACAAAAGTGTGTTTCTCTCTATATTCCTAGTTGTTACAGACGACCATGTACAAATCGACTGAAGCATTGTGAGCAGGGACTGTCATTTAGTGAAGAAGTATGTCGCTGTGTCCCTTCATATTGGAAAAGACCACATATGAACTGAGATTGTTCTATTTTCCAGTTCGTCATTTTTCTGTCATGGAAAACTGTGTTGCCACTTTAGAACTGTCTATGAACAGAGAGACCTTGTGGGACCATGGTAACAAAGACAAAAGTCGGCGTTTTCTGAACCATGTGGATAACTTTACAGAAAGAGACTGGAGCTCATCTGCAAAAGACCTCTCGTAAAGACTGGGTTTCTGCCAATGACCAAACAGCCGAGGTTTTTTTGTTGTGATTTAAAAAAAAAAAATAATGACTATATAATTTATTTCCACTAAAAATATTGTTTCTGCATTCATTTTTATAGCAATAACAATTGGTAAAGCTCACTGTGATCAATATTTTTATATAATGCAAAATATGTTTAAAATAAAATGAAAATTGTATTATAACCTGCTAAGTTCAATCCATTACCATCTTACACTGTAAGCAAACTTGATATTATGAAACATTCATCTCCCCCTGCTCCATTTCTCTAACCAAATGTCAGATTGCGATTGCTATGAAAATGTGTGATCCTGTGAAAGAAAGTTTCACAGGGATTACAGTCACTACTACATTTCATTTAAATTCATCTCTTAATGTATTTAATGATTATAAACACTTTATTATATGACACTTTTGAATCTAAAACCAAATGAATCGATATAGATTGTACTATCTTATAAGATTGTCTGCTTAGCACGTCCATATGACTGAAAGTTATTCAGTGCACTAGGAGCATTCAGACTTTTAACTGGGTATAATATCCCTCAGTATGTATGAAAATGGCTTTAAAATATTTCAATCAAAAACAATCTTTTCCAAATATTTAGCTTTTTCTGACAAGCTAAAGTCTTTTTGTGAACACATGTAAAATAAACGAAATAACATTTAAGTGCCCACACATGTTAAAAAAGAAACATTTCAGTCACACGATTGCAGTGCTTGTCTCATTTTTAAAAAGGCATGCTTTATTCTGGGAACAAATATTTTGCCTGCATAAATACAACCCAGTAAGTGGTATGCTTGTTGACAAAGAATTGATTGTTTGCCAGTGTGACATAGCTACTAGCAAATACATAAAAATTATTAGTGCTGAAAAGAGAAAACAAAGTTTATAGTTATGTAAAGATAAATCTCTTAAAGCAGTGGTTCCCAACATTTTTGGCACTAGGGACCAGTTTCCCAGAAGACAATTTTTCCATGGCCTGGGGGTGGGGGAAGGTTGGAGGTGATTCAAGTGCATTACATTTATTGTGCACTTTATTTCTATTATTATTACATTGTAATATATAATGAAATAATTATACAATTCACTATAACGCAGAATCAGATGCCACCAAATGCAACTGTGCAACTGAAGTACATCAACTCACTTGCCACTATAACGCCTGCCACCAGATGCAGCTTAATTGTCACTTGCTACTCACTGATAGGGTTTTGATATGAGTCTGCAAGCAATTGATTTATTATGGTCTCTGTTTAGTCAAACCTCTTTGCTAATGTTAATCTGTATTGCAGCCACTCCCCAGCACTAGCATCACTTCTCATAAGGAGCATGCAACCTAGATCCCTTGCATGGGCAGTTCACAACAGGGTTTGCATTCCTATGAGAATCTAATGCCTGATGATTTGAAGTGGAGCTGAGGCGGTGATGCTAGCGCTGGGGAGCAGCTGCAAATACAGATGGAGCTTCGCTAGCTAGCTCGCCTGCCATTCACCTCCTGCTGTGCAGCCCTGTTCCTAACAGGTCACGGACCAATACTGGGGATTGGAGACCCCTGTTTTAAAGCTGGCAAATTTAATATAACAAAAACGTTTTTAAATGGTATAAGTGACTACTTGGTACACTATAAAATATTAGTGTCTATACGTTTTGCTATAAAATAGTTTGTTTTCTTTAAAAATATTTAATTAGAAGGTTGATGCCCAAAAAATATACTAAGTATTTTCAATACTGACTTGTAAAACAATGTAATGTTTTCTAAATTCCAGTTATGTGCTCTGCACAATTTTAACATCTAGTCCATAAAGTAAGATTTTTTCCATATATTGGAGAAAAAAGTAATCTTCTGAAATTCTCTCATTTTACGTTTATGCACCATCTTCCTATTTTTTAGTAAAGATGACTCTTAAGCCTTTATGCAGAAAACATGCATTGTTCATTCTATGTGCCAGCTAAGGTCTATGTAATTTTCAAACAGTGATAATAATAATAATAGTAATAATAATAATAAATAAACAGCAAAAGGAAAAGATAAATAAATATGAAAACAGCTACAGTTTTATCAAAATTTCTCCAGTAGAACAAATTCAGGGATGGTTTACAAAAGGAAAAATGGAGTCAAAATAAATAACATCTTTCCACCTCAAGGGGAGGCAAAATCCTGATGCATAATGGTCACCGTCCATGAAATTGAGCTAGATTCAACTCAATCATTTTTCATCATATTTGAACCAAGAATGTTAGCAGAAATACATTGTGTAATCTATTTTCTGGTCAATCATTTTTAGTTTTGATACATTTAAATATATTAATTTTTTAGCTAATTTAAAATATATATTTTTTGTTTTGAATGAGCTCCATGAGGTCATGTAAGGAATATTAGAACCTGATGCAACAATTGTTATGTTATCAGCTTTAAAATAATCTGAACTATGTGTTGACAATTAGTTTCTCAGAATATACGGGTAAGCCAAAAAAAATCACTAGGCCAAAAATTAAAGCATGAAGCATGCCAGAAAAATAACATTTAATTTGTCCCTGGAGATGTAATAATTTTGATCAAAAGTAAAAGTAGCATGAACAAAGACAATACATTGCCAGAGATACTTGCAGACAATTTTATATGGACCATAAAAATCTTACTTCACTCCATTATAATAATTTAGATTTTTGTGGTGCCAGTTAAGAAGATGGACTAGAGATAAAACTAAACAATTACTTAGAGTATTAGCAAAATTGATTCAGCTAAAAGCTAAAAAGTACAGTGAAAATGTTCATAAACTCTCCAAGAGTCTCAAAATGCTAATCCAGTCAATCTGAAGGATAAAGATGAGAAAACACTGGAAGTTTGTAGCACCAGTTAATATATTGGAAGCTTGGAAATTTTGTGAATATAATTTTATGTCTAGAAACCTAGTATTGTATTCTCAGTTAAAAAGACTCAAGGAAAAAAATATTTTGGTAAGTAAGCAGTTGTATAAGATGTAGCTTCCCAGACTTTTTTTTTTTTTAAGAAGAGCGTTTTGACATTGGCTAACTGATTGAGTGAAACAGATCCCAGTATCAGAATTTGTAAAAATAACTTTTGTTTTCCACATGCATATAAACTCAAAACAGAAGTTTGAGTGGTGATTGTATACGGCATTGACTGGCATACCCAGAATGCACTTCTCTAAGGAAAGGAGAAAGGATCACGCACTTCTCCATGCACTCCGGTCTTTCTCCGGGGACATCCTCTTCTGAAGGAATTTTATTCAATGGGTGAGAGAAAAGAAGCAGATACAACATGGTGAGAGAGGTCACATGGCCACAATTGTTTTAGCATATTGCCAAAGTTCATGAAACTCCTTACATGGTTAAGGTCCCATGTTCACCTACCTAAGAAGTGCTGGGGCGACAAGCTGGACAAGGTCTCTTGGCCCATACTTTAACAACATTACTGTGCTGTCCCATACTGCCCCACCCTCCAAGCCGCTCCCCCGCGCCTCCACACACACACACTCACCCCGCCCCAAGAACTGAGCTTTCATTAGCAGGTTTGTCAAAGGATGCTTTTTAGAGACTTTACCTTTTGAACTGAAAATGAGAATGATATAAAAATAACATTTCACTCTGCTACAGAAGAAGAGAGCATTGACGTCTAATTTTTATATAGATGAATTCTAGAAAGTTCTGAATACATCCAATTATTGTATTCAAAAAATGCATATAATACACCCAGAGAACTGTTGAAGGAAGTCAGTGATACATACTTTGTAAAGTAATTACTGGTATGTTGGTTCACGGTTGAATTTTTAGTATATTGGGTAATTTTTAAGTGGGAAATAACTCTGTGTTATCTTGTATAAGTAGAGCTTGACAGTTTGAAAAAAATTTAAACCAAAGTTTCAAAGTTTCTCTTCATTCCAGAGCTAACAACTCAGAACTATAAAAAGCATACTATAACAGAAGGAGCACTATGTTCGGAATTATAAACCAGGCTCTTAATCCTGATTTTTCTGCTGTATCTGAGCAAATTACCAAAAACCTCTGAGGCTCAACTTCTTTATCTGTGAAAGGAAGGAGTTGAATTAAAATTATGTTGAAGACACACCTGTGACATTACAAAGTGTGTACTAAACTACATACGAAGGGAAAAGAAAAAAAAGGAACATTTTAAAGAACTTCAGAAAAGCCCCATTCTTGAGATTAGTGACCCCATTAAGAGGAAATAGTGATCTTTTAAAAATGTTTCATGTAACAAATTATGAGTAAAAAAAAATCTGTCTCTCATATACTATAATTCTAATTCTACTTCTTAAGTTCTAAAAAATTTAGATAGCTCAAAGCATCAAAATCATATTAAAGGGGATCATACAAGCTTTGGAAAATTTCTTTCAACTTTTGTTGAATATTTTGAAAAAACAAAACTAAAAACTTTCATAAAAAAAGCAAAAATTAAGACTTCCAGGAACTGCTTTCAAACCTCAGTCAGATGCATATATGCTGTATTTCATCCAGAAAAGGCCATTGAAGCATAAATTGACTCCTAATGCTATTGTCATCTGGAGTTCTGATGATCAGACTTGACTGGGTATTGGGCTTAGCGTCTGCATTATTTGTGAACACAGGTCAAAATGCCGGATGCTGCCCACGAACTCACCCAGCAGGGTGGGTGATGTATCAGATCTGATGACATATGACTGTACACACAGACAGCAATAACTGTTTTGATTTGATAGAAATGATTGTGAGACATCATTGAAAACTTCTTTTAAATCTACAAAATAATGACTGGCTGGATAAGAAAGAATTTGAAATCGTCCTAATCAGAAATATTTAATTTTACAAATGTATAAATAGTTTTAAAAGGAGAAAAAAATTATGTATATTTAACACACACTACTTTATGTGACTTTATAACAATATTGGCAGTGTGTTGTTAAAGTCATTCAATATTTTCATCACTTTAAGGCAGCTGCGCATTTTCTTAATCTTTTTAGAAATTAATTTTTCTCATATTCAAATGTACATATTTATATTAAGTAGAAATCCTTTTTTTGAGATTATTATTATATCTCCACAAATGTAACTGTGTAGCTGACATGGTCACTCAGTTTAAAAAAGAAAAAGAAAAACTCTTCCTCAGTATGAACGTCATATATTTAAATACTTGCTGTGGAGATTTCACAGATCCCTTGCTAATGTG